CGACAGTGTAAAAAGGAGAACGCGCACACCGCGGCACGCCGTCGCGAATTCAGACGCAATTGTACCACGTCGGGTTATAGTGCAGCGAATTTACCGACCCAACGGCTCAGGAATTTAGATCCGGCCGTGACAGAGGGGTGAACGTTCTGTTTCTGGTTGAACGCCGTCACCGGCCGCGTATACATGCGACGCGAGGACGTCGCACGCGGAGACGTCGGCCACGGTTGGTCCGTTGGTCGGTCACGTTACGACGGTAGAATTGACAGGCGCGGGAAGTGGACTTACACTTGATCAGGATGACACCGTTGTGCAGCTCCTCCATCTCGTGGAGGCGAGCGGTCTACCTCGTGATCCGTCCTCCAGGTTAAACGACGATAATTCCCCGATCGGAGCTTCCGGGACGAGGGGGTTCCCCGTCGTCTTTGCTCGCAACGTGCTCGCGTACTTCGGGTCTCCCAGCAAACATACGCTCGAGTGTCACGAGCTGGGTCTGCGGACGCGACAGCACTTCGGGGCACAGGGGAACGCGATCCGGCGAATTACGAGGTGGCACACGTGGCAGGGCCGGCCGCGGGCATAATTAATATTACGGCGTGCACCGATAACAACGCGTGTACCGTCCGACAAAGAAACGCCACCGAAACCGAGTAAACATGGCCGCGCGCGCGCGCCTCTCTGGGTTCTCCGTGGCCCGCGGAGCCGTCACGCACTGAGGGCGGTTGCATGGAAACGAAGGGCACAGAGGAGAGACAGACGGTGAACGAGCGAGCGAGAGAGAGAGACAGAGAGAGAGAGAGAGGGAGAGAGAGAGTGAGACACTCGGAGGAAAAGAGAGAGGGATATACCAGCCGAGAGAGGTGTTTGTGTACGCGCCCGCGCGTTTGTGTCTGTGTCGGTGTCGGTGAACAGAGACGCGAGCAAACGGAGCGAATGGAACAGAGGGTGCTGCAAGCTGCGAACGAGAGAGAAAGTTAGAAAGAGAGGGACCGTGGAGGTTGCGCGGGAAACGAGTAAGAGAGAGAAACGGACAAATCGAGCCGGTTACCGTGGGACGGAGACGGCGACGGAGAGAGAACGAATGACAGAAAATGAAAGAGAAAAGCACCCACCGCGACGGAACAAGCGAGAAAGAGGAGGGACAGAGAGGCGAGATCGACGACCGAGCTGCGGGACGGGGATAGAGTCGTTGTGTTACGGTAGTTCGTTAAGACTGCCGTGTGGCGGCGCCACCTAGGATACTCGTCATGATCCTGAACGGGCCCTGGTAAATCACGATCCTCTGACCTGGGGTATTGTTAAACAGAGAAAAGCGGCGAGCAGCTGGACTAGAATCTTGGTTAAAAATGTATGTTCAGGTTTCGGCGTTACGGTCATTGGAAATGCGGAAAATTCCGAGATATTTCAGGATCATGGGAAAAGGACGAACGCACCTGCGGTCGCTCGAGCAAAATTTTTGAAACGGAATTTTCTTGGCTTTGGTACGCAATACGAAATTGCTTATAGGATGTTGAGTATGTGTGAGATGTATATAGGAAGTTGAATGTAATCACTGTATCTCTAGGTACTCTGACGAGACTAAACATACCAATCTCCTGTCAAAAACCTTCGATGAATCTGCGCATGCGCGACACGAAAAGTATGCAACCGTTTATGCACGTTTGAACGGAGATTCGTTTGAATGAATTATTTTCCAAGTAAATAAGCGGTCCCGGGAATTATTTCGGATCAAAATGTGGAAATCATTTGATCGTAACACTAGAACAACCAGAGAGGTCGAAACGACCCATTCCTGATTGCTTCTTTAATAATGATTAAAAACATAACAGATAATTCTCTGAGAAATTACTGCAGAAATTGATTCAGCAATAGGTAAACTGAATTATAAATCAATAGAAATCTCTCAATAGTAGCACTCTTGGAGTTTCCATAGCAACATGTCAAAAAGTTAGTTTGACTGTTCGGTAGTCCTAGTGTTAACCCTTTGCACTCGAGAGGCGACTCACAGTCGTTGTTTTGTTTGATACAGAACAAATACAAAGTTAGATATTCAATATTAAATTTCATTTAACGTAATTATCCATGAAACGTTAAAATAGAATAATTCTATCCCTTAATTTCTATATTGTTTATAACAATATTAATTATAAAACATGTCATTGGTATTTCATTAGAGAATGAGTAATTTCTAGCGAAACAATTTTCGAGTGCGAAGGGTTAATGTTCGTAAGGAAACGCGTAGCGGGAATGTTATATCAGTGATAACCCGTGCCACAAAGAGACCGAACGCGGACGAAATGTTGACACACAAAAGAACGCTCGAGTGGCTGAAACACGACGCGATTCGGAAGTGCACGTATGCGCTGAGAGCGCAGAACGTCCGTAAAAAAATCCGAAGCGAGCATCGCGCGACCGGCGAATGTGCGAACATTTCATAAAATAAAGCTGCCTTCCGTAAAAGAGAACAGCCCCGCATCCTGAAAACATAGCCCCATCGTTTCAGATCGGCGCGTTACGAAACGACACGCGGACGAGCCATCTAGCAGGAATAAAAGTTTCGGCCAAGTTCGAAATACGTCGAGCGGATCGCGTTGCCAAAGCGGCAGATGGCCAAGGCTAGGAGTCAATTGTATTTACGGAAAATCCCTTCGATCTTGGCAACACTGCGCAACACGCGTTGCGTTGCTCCATGATATTCTAACGGTCTATTAAAAGAGGTACACACTGTGCAGTTCATTTGCATTCGAGATACCTACGAAAGTATTAAACTAATCAAAATGCATGTCATTTATACCAGGTCCACGTGGCTCGCCTATACTGATTGGCAATCAATGATGATATCGATACTGCTCGGGCAAAGAATCTTACCCCAGTGGTCGATAAGACAGTGAATCGGGCTGGATGAGAGAGGAACGGGTTGGCTGAGCAACAGGAAAAAGAGAGCTGCTGTTGTGTAGCTCTAATGGGAGATGGCGACGCGGTTTGTTTTCCTTTCTTGCCTTGGCAGGCGGCCAAACAGCGGGCCGGTTATACGCCTCGTCCGCGGCCGAACCTCCTCCACGCGCGGTATATACCGCCTAAGTATCGCGTCCCCACCAAAACAGATCTATGTTTGCAGCTTCCACCGGCGGCGGTAGCTGACTGCCGTTCCACGTATAATACTCCCCTCTAGTTCCTCGCCGAGGACTGAAACCAGGTCTACATTTTAGTACGCATCAGAATCTCGACTATGAGAAGTTTTCACGCGAGCCTCCGCGCGCCCGGTAAACTCGCATGGGACGACGGTCAGCATCATGACGCAGACTTCACAGCAGACCAAATTTCGATGTGAGTTGCACGGCTTGCACGAAGGGAGGAACCGTGTTCGGGGACAGGACACGTGCGTGTACGCGACGCGATTTCTTTTTTTCCTCTCTTCTCTCTTCTCTCTCTCACTCTCTCTCTCTCTCTCTCTCTCTCTCTCTCTCTTGCGTTGATTTTCGACGGACAGTTTTTCGTCGGGAGAGGGACCTGAATCAGTGACTGGTGGACCGTGGTTCGCGCGTAGATATTGTGGTTTCCGTTTCGATCGCGCCGCGTGTACTTCATGTACGTCAGTCACGGTTGCTCATTTTGCTACGTAGATACACCGCGGTACGCAAGTGCGCGAACCGTCTGTCCCCTTGCGTCATCTTCGTTACGCTTGTTTCGCACCGGGCGGCTTAAACTTTGCCATCTTGTTTCCCGATTCACACGGCCCGTTCCCGTGGTTCGTCCTTTTGAATCCGAGCGCAGCCGCCATTATCGAATTACTGGGATTTCTGTTTAAATACACGGTGGTAGCATTAAGTTGTCGCGGGCCGGTTATTAAAGGCGACGATTCACTGTACCTTGTAATTTCGAAACGTACTGTCGCGGGGCATGGATATATACGGTGGACAATAATGTTTGTGACGCTCGCTCGCAACCGGGTTCTTTTATTTTTCGTCGTTGCTTTTCTCTGGAAATTATTGCGATCGCTTCGTCGGTGACATTTTATTTGCTGCATCGTAATTGGCGTTTCGTGACACGCGAGGCAGTGTACTTTTGTATTCCGCTTGACGTTACGTTGCACAGCGTGATGCACATAGTGGCTGAAGTATGCAGGCTGCATTGTAGAAGTTTTCATTCCGGGACCGGCATTGAATGCATAGCATCGCGAACTGTCGGAATGAAAGTTTCCATGTAGAGACATCTGCTTGTTACGTCTCGCGACTTTCTCTTGCAGAGAGGATTTTAGAAACTTAGGAATCCTTTAGCGTTCAACTACCCGAACGCCGAGGTCGGGATGCATCGAACAATTGCGCGGGATTTTATTTTTGGAATAACGGTTATCGTTGACCTTGATTTTTGAAAATTTCTTTTCCGTTTCAATTGGCATTTTCTTTTAGCTTCGGTGTCTTTATGAGACTACGTACCGAGTATCTCTTACAAACTGGTAGTCGGATTGTTTCTTGTAATAAAAAAGTCGCATTGATCATTCCTTTCTCATGTTAAAATTAATTACAGGCTTTCAGGGTGTGCATACAAGTAAGCGGTTACATTTTTTAAGCAATTCATTGACTGACAGTCGACTAATTACCAGGAATGTAATTAGCATCTAATTTACACGGAGTTTTAAAGTTAACGTAACCACCTTCGTAGGCTGAAAATTCGAACGCTTTTTGAAACTTCATTGGCTCGTGTATGCAGCATCGTTGAGTATCGTTTTCCGTCCTTAACCTTCTAGCGAGACGTCCAACACTTAAGTACAATCCGCCACAGAAGTCCGCGCGCGGATATCAAATTTCAAATGTCCAACGCGCGCAGACTTTTTGCGATCAACTGTACACGCTACAAATGTCATTTAAACGTGTTTACGGGTTCAACACGTTTATTTATTAAGTGCGGATCGTTCTTACGAAAGTTGCCCGCGACGCACGCGAGAACAGTTCGAAGAAAACACAGTGATAGAATGTCGTATAGCGTTCCTCAGTGTCCACGTGTTCCCGCGGCATGAAACCTTCGCCTTATAATTTCTTTTTCCAACAGAAAAAAGGAATCGTATGTTCATTGTGAAAATATTATTTTTCTCCTGCTGAAATTAAGTAAATGAACATTCACATTTATTACTTTATTATTATTGTCGTTATTGTCGTTAATATGACGATACTAACATTTTTAACATCAACATTATCATATTACTCATTTGCAAATAAGTCCAAAGAAAAAAAGGAATCACATGTTCCTTGTAAAAATACTATTCTTCTCAAGCGGAAATGAAGTGAACAACATTCACATTTATTATTTTATTATTATTGTCGTTAATATGACGATACTATCATTTTTAGCATCAACATTATCATATCGCTCATTTGCGAATAAGGCAAGAGCAATTATTTTCTTGAAATTAAAAATCAATCTAACATTCATATTAACAGAATGCAAATTTTTTGCAACAAAACCGTCTCGGCGTTACAAGGCGGCGGGTTTAAATCGCGCGTGTCCAAACTGTTATGCCTCCTGCCATCTTGTCGGTGACCAGGTCTCCTTCTCTCCGTCGGTACCCCGCGGCGACACCGACATTCCGTCGGCGACGTAATAACCGTCTAATAGAGGAATCGCAACCGTGACTACACGTGATAATAATCACGAGTCATGCAGCGGACTCTGACTCCCACTATCCCCATCTTCTCCTTTTTCTTTTTTTTTTCT